TTTTATTCTCTACTGTATCTCCAGTGCCTAGCACAGGGGTGGGGAACCTTGTTTTCTTCCAAGGGCCACTTGGATATTTATAACAGCTTTTGCAAGCCACACAAAATTATCAACTTAAAAATTAGCCTGCTACCACTAATAGATGTGTTTCTCTCACATTGATATTTCTGCCTTTCCCTCTCTCTTCCAACCATCTCTAAAAATCTATGGAATATCCTCAGAGGATTAAAAAAAATAAAAAGCAATCTAAAAAACTAGCCTGCTATACTAGGACAAACATTTAATTAACTCACCTCTAATGCCTTGGCAGGGCCAGACCAAATGATTTCGCAGGCCTTATACAGCCTTCAGGCCGGATGTTCCCCACCCCTGGCCTAGCATATAGTAGGCTCTGGAAACATATTTATTAAATTCACCAAATAAAGTCTAAAGAATAATTTGGAAAGTATAAAAATCTAGAGCAGCCCTAGCCTGTTTTGCTCAGTGGATAGAGCGTCAGCCTTCGGACCAAAGGGTCCGGGTTCGATTCCGGTCAAGGGCATATACCTTGGTTGCAGGGTCTTCCCCAGCCTGGGCCATGGTCGGGGTGCATGTAGGAGGCAACCAATTAATGTGTCTTTCTCACATCGATGTTTCTGTCTTTCCCTCTCTCTTCCACACTCTCTAAAAATCCATGGAAAAATATCCTCGGATGAGGATTAACAACAATAAAAAATCTAGAGCAATGTTACTTAAACTTTAACCTAAAAATAGAGACTTTGAAACCCAGCTTGAAAACTAAGCTCTGTCCCTCTAGGAGACTTAGTGTGAATTTAATTTTTTTTTTTTTAATATTTTATTGATCCTTAACATAGAGGAAGGGAGAGCGACAGAGAGAGTCAGAAACATCGATGAGAGAGAAACATCGATCAGCTGCCCCCTGCACATCTCCCACCGGGGACGTGCCTGCAACCCAGGCACACGCCCCCAACCGGAATCGAACCTGGGACCCTTCAGTCTCCAGGCCGATGCTCTATCCGCTGAGCCAAACCGGTTTTGGCATGAATTTAATTTTAAGCATAGAAGCAAATGTGGTCAGTGAAATCAGAGCCTTACACAATTATGAGGTGGATGTCCCAAGTAATCCAGATTATGTTTATGAAAATAAAAACCTTAAAAAAGTCTCGGGGAATCCCAAACCCCTGAAAGTAAACCTTTAGATTCCAGTTTCAGAAATGCCGATTTAGAACAGGTAATTCAGAAAAAACTTTCACTTTATTGTTTTGATGAGACCTGCAAAAAGGAATTCAATAATCTCTTTTGTTTTAGATTTTACAAAATAGAAATAAAGTAGTGCAGTAAAATGGACTATGAGGAATTCTTAATCAGACCAATATAATGTGCTCACTTCAATGTGAATTCTGTCAGAGGCCCACAGGGAATATGTAGATAATGATAATGGCTCATCACAGTGTGCATCAGTTACATTTCTGGTCTGATGTATATGAAATATCTGTCAAACTTCAATTATGAAAATACTAATAATTTCTTCTAAGTTTGAAAAGAGGGAGGAGATACATAGTAACTTAAATTTGTTTTTTTCAAGAAACTTTCCCCTAATCACAGTTTCAACATGTTGATAGCAGCTTTCATCTCGTCATATGAAGGCATCAGAAAGCTGGATCCTATCCCAGCCTCTTTCCCGACCACCTTCCCGAATAACCTAAAAGCACATCACTCCCCTTCTCTGGGTTCTGCCTCATTCCTCTTATGTATACACTAGAGGCCCAGTGCACAAAATTCGTGCACTGGGGGGAGGTCTTTCAGCCCGGCCTGCGCCCTTTCGCTGTCTGGGAGCCCTGGGGGGATTTCCGACTGACAGCAGTCAGACATCCTTAGCGCTGCTGTGGAGGCAGGAGAGGCTCCCACCACCGCTCCTGCACTCGCCAGTGGTGATCCCAGCTTCTGGCTGAGCGGCACTCCCCCTGTGGGAGCACACTGACCACCGGGATGCAGCTCCTGCATTGAGGATCTGCCACATGGTGGTCAGTGTACACATAGCGACCAGTTGTTCTGCCATTTGGTTGATTTGCATATTAGCCTTTTATTATAGAGGATGGAAGTATTAAAATTGTAAACATTGAAATTGAATTAAGAGCTTTTGGATTTAGCTACCAAAGTACAATTTTTAAATACCAACCAAGTGATTATGTATATCTCTTAAGCACATAGGATTTTAATTTAAAGTCATATAAAAACGTTTGTTTATTGCTGCAAAGAATGTCATTGAGAAGTCTGTCTGACATGTCGTTATTAATATTTGTTCAGTCATTTGGATAAAATGGATGTGTTTGAGACTGTGTTGCTGCCTACGCCATTGTTTGGCTCTGATGTCTTGTTGCTTTTTGTTTGTTTGCCAGAAGAAAATTTGTCTGCTACCAATTCCAGCCCAATTTTGGAGCCAGGTAACAAATAGGGGGTTTTTTTGTGTGTAGTCATTACATGATATTTTATCCTTTTGTATACTAGGCCTTTTCTTCATATCTCCATTCAGCAAATAATCGAGCGCTTAACTATGTGCAAGGTTGTCTGCCAAATGTTAGGCTGAATAAAAGAACTGTAATGTACAGTCTGAGAGCTTACAATGCAGGTGAAGTTTGTATACGTACATACATCAGAGAGTTAAAAGCTGTACAAGACAACACAAGGAATGGTATATAATGCAGTACTTGCTTAAGTGTCATTACTAAAATGCTTTAGTGTCGTACTAAAGCAGACAATAGGTGTGATGGCTTCAAAGGAGGGAGAGAGCACATCACAGTTCATGCGGTAGTAGTGGAGAGATCTCTCTAGGTTTGGAATTCAGAAAACATTCCCTTCTGAGCCACATGCTTTATTCACACTTCCCTCGATTAATCTGACGCACTACAAAACTCATTCTCAAGCCCCATATTTTTCGTTTTCTCCAACAGTTTGCCTCTTGAGAGTTGGCTTTATGTCTTTGAAACAGATGTGTTCTTCTAGGTCTACCTGAAGATGAAATGCAAAGTGACTGCATGACCTAAAACACTTTTGCTGAATCAGTGCTGGTGCTCATCAGACCTATTTACAAGAGGTAGGCAGACTTCTACCCAGCAAACACAAGGACTGAATTTTTAGAGACATTGCTTAGATTTATTCATCAGTAATTGTCATAATGTTTGGAACAAATTTCATACTTTAGCAGACCAATCACAGTATAGTATATTTGGTCTTTTTTAAATTAGTATTATTTTTTCATCTTCACCCAAGAATTATTGATGAGAGAGAGAGAAACTTTGATGTGAGAGGAGCATGGATTGGTTGCCTCCCATATGCACCCTGACTGGTGATCAAACCCACAACCTTTTTTGGTTTACAGGACAATGTTCCAGCCAACTGAGCCACCCTGTCCAGCCTAGTCATTATTTTTGAGAACCAATAGGGCAAAGGTAACTTGGACCCAAATGCTTGTTTCTGTATAAGCATTTTAATAGACTCTTCCCACCTCTGAGGACTTTTCTCTTGTGTTTGCAGACAAGACTTTTCCTTTGCATTATCGTTGAAAGGTTTCCAAAAAATATGGTATACTATCAAATAGTTCGTAAGAAAGATTTAGTCAGACTTGCTTCCTTCCATTTTTTACATATTCAGTTTCTGTTGTTCCCATGCCACTGTTATCCAAAAGCTTGTGTGTTTCAGTTTGCTTGTCTCTTAGTGAATCTGACAGGGGCTTGATGTGTATCTGAAAAGAATATAGTCACACACCCCATAACGACATTTCAGTCAACAGTGGACCGCATAAATGACAGTGGTATACTCTTTAGCCTATGTATATGATGAGTAGTAGTAGGCTGTAGTACATCCAGGTTTGTGTAAGTGCACTCACTCTCTGATTTTTTCACAATGAGGAAATCGCCTAACAACATTATTTCTCAGAGCGTATCTTTATCATCAAGCTGCGCGTGACTGTAGACTTAGACTACCAACCATGTACTACTTATATTTAGGCTTTCCGTTTTGGAGGTAAGGGATTTAACAAGCACATGTTGAAACTGGATGAATAGGCTTCCAAGTTTTATTTTAATTAATTTAATTTTAAATTATAACTAGGCACATGTTGTTAGTGCCTACCATATTGAATAGTGTAGGAGAAAGCTTGTTATTCAGAGTATTAAAAGTCTTTGTATTATGAAAGGATTCGCTTGGCTACCCACAAACCTCTGGGGAGTTCAAGATTCCTTCTTTTTTTTATATATATATATTTTATTGATTTTTTACAGAGAGGAAAGGAGAGAGATAGAGAGTTAGAAACATCGATGAGAGAGAAACATCGATCAGCTGCCTCCTGCACATCTCCCACTGGAGATGTGCCCGCAACCCAGGTACATGCCCTTGACCGGAATCGAACCTGGGACCCCTCAGTCCGCAAGCCGACGCTCTATCCACTGAGCCAAACCGGTTTCGGCCAAGATTCCTTCTTGCACTCTCTGCCACTTTGCCCATGAGTAGGAGGAACCTTGATAGAAGTCAAGAAAAATGCGCCCCCATTCTAGGAGGAAGAGCTTTTAGTGGAAGGAATAAAATGCTGTGACCTCAGTTGGCTGGGCAGTGTCATACTCTCGGTTCTCTAGGACAGTGCTGTCCATAGCACTTTCTGTGATGAGAGGCGTTTCTATGTCTGCACTGCCCAATAGCCACTGTGCAGTAGCCACTAGCCACAGGTGGCTGTTGAACATATGAAATGTGGCTAGAATGACTGTGAAACTGAATTTTTAATTAAATTTAAATATTCATGTGTGGCTAGTGGTTAATGTATTGGCCAAATTTTTTGCTCATGTATTTCCAGAAGAGTTTTGAAATCCATGTACTTTCTTGAACATTTTAAAGCTGAAATTAAAAATGTTTTCCTAATATGTTTGAAAGTTTACAGGATATAGAAAATGTTAAATCTTGTATGAGATGAGTAAGATGAGGATTAGCCATAAAATTTATTGAATAATATGCTCTGAATGTGGTGAGAAATTCATCTGAAGTTCTTATCTGTAAGTTCTATTAAATGTATCTTGAAAATGTTGATGATCAGACACCATTCCACTTACTTTTTTGTTTTGTTTTATTCTCACCTGAGGATATTTTGATTTTTGAGAGTGAAAGCGGAGGGAGGGGGAGGGAGAGAGGGAGGAGAAAAAGAGGAACAGCAATGTGAGAGAGACACGTTGACTAGTTGTCTCCCGCAGTCACCCCGTGGATGGAACCTGCAACCCAGGCATGTGCCCCTGAGATGTGTGGCGCCGAAGCTCTAACCACTTAGCAACACCATCCAGGACTCCCCTTACATTTAAACGAAACAACATTGCTAACCTATATTGCTTTGGTTATTCTAAATTAAGTTACATTTAAACGAAACATTACTAACCTATATTGCTTTGGTTATTCTAAATTAAGGAGCCAACTTCACACCTGAAAAATGCAAGACTGGGAATGACAGGAACCCCTAAGGTTTTAAGGTTCCTTGATCAGTCATTAAAGAAGGTGTGTGGATACCCCAGCTGAAGACCACCACTTTAGAACTCTGTCTTTCTTGACTGATTAATGAGCCCTTGAATTCCACTGCCCTTAGGAAATGGAAAAGGTGTGCAACTTAACTCTTGGCTAAAATCCAAGCTTCTGGGGGAGGGCTTGGAGATCATGCTCATTCCCTTTTATCACACTCGATTGACAGAATCATCTCGGGGTTTCTATACTAGTAAGTACTAAGGTCTGAAATAAGGACTTTGTTTTTTAATTATTTGTCAGTACATATTTGAGTGCCTTCTGCAGTAGGTCCTAGGACTACAGCAGTGTACCACTTACCCTCACTGTGTCCACCTTCCGTGGAGAGTCAGACCACTAACACACCAGTCACAGTACTGTGAGCAAGGCCTGTGTATTGTGTTGGCGTTAAGCTCATGGTGCTACAGGTCCCCACAGGAAGGGCATCTCATAGGCTTTCAGGAGGTGGATCCTGAATGTGAGGTGGGACTGAACTGGCAGAAGGAGTAGAGACAGATGAGCAGCTGGGGTAAAGGCCCAGGGGCCATATAACTTAAAATGGTACAAACCGCAAAATCAGTAAAATACATTTTATTCAAGAATCCAAAACAGCCCATCCAAATAATGCACTGTTCCAAGTAGGTTATACACGATCAGCTGCTTAAAAGTCATGCCTTTCGCCCTAGCTGGTTTGGCTCAATGAGTAGAGCATTGGCTCATGGAGTGAAGGGTTCGGGTTCAATTCCTGTCAAGGGCACATACCTCGGTTGCAGGTTTGAGCCCCAGCCCTAGTCAGGGCGTGTGCAGGAGGCAACCAATCAATGTTTCTCTCTGTGTGTCTCTCCCCCTCCCTTCCACTCTCTCCAAAAATCAATGGAAAAATATCCTTGGGTGAGGATTAATGAAAAAATAAATAAATAAAAGTCATGCCTTTCAAATGAAGAAAAATTTGCCATAGAGTGGCATTTGGTGAAGGTATGACTTACAAGCTACAAATGAATGGTTGGTGGTGTCATAAACAAGCGAAAGGGTGGGAAAGATAGTTTGGCACATAATAGTGCCAATTCCAGATAATATATATGTTTTGCTAAATAACATTTTTATAGCATTGATTTGCAATCATGCAAATATCCATGATACATCTCTTTCTGTAATTTATGTACTAAAAGAAAAACCACAGCAGTGCACCTTTTTGAACATATAACAAGAATATATTTTACCCTGTGGCTTAGTACTCACATAATATATCTGTGTGACAAATATCACAAAATAATAATGAATATAGCTCACACTTCTATAGCCCTCACTGTGCTGTGCACTGTTCTAAGTGCTTTACAAATATTAATCTATTCAATCCACGCAATGGCACTATACTTAACTATGTTCAATACACTCAGCTATGTTCTAGCCTATTTGAATACAGGTAATCTAGCTCCTGAATCACTAGGCCAGTGGTCGGCAAACTGCAGCTCGTAAGCCACATGCGGCTCTTTGGCCCCTTGAGTGTGGCTCTTCCACAAAATACCACATGTGGGCGTGCATGTACAGTGCGATTGGAACTTTGTGGCCCATCTGCAGAAGTGGATAATTTGTGGAAGAGCCACACTCAAGGGGCCAA